AAACTTCAGAATTGATAAGCTCCACTTCCTTATAGTGACATTTCACTGTACAAGCAGTACATTTTCAAAATTTTTCAAAATTTGTGACAATTTTGAGCCCTATGACGTGCTGTTAGAATTTTTTTTCTTTTAAAACATCACTGAAGCATTAGGCGGACATAGGAGGTAGGTGAAAGCAAAGAAAATTTTGCATATTGGCCTAATATGAATAAGTGATGAGTGCTGATTAAACAGTAAACCACAAATAAGTTGTTTGCATTGATGGTAGTTCCCATTTCCTTGTCCAAAGCTCAATAAATAGCATGGATTTTTTTACCAAAAAAAAAAAAAAAATCCAAAAGGTGTTCCTTTCAACTTGCCCATGCAGTCAAAGTTGATGCTTTGTTTTTATTGCAGGCCTAGTCCCGTGGCAGCTGCAAAACGTTTTGAATGAAAGGTGAATCATTTAATTATTGTAACTTATTATAGCTCACAAGGACATCAGACTTTTATGTCCTAGTCTCTCCCATAATTCCATCAAAGACAAAAATCACATGACTTTGAGGTTAGAGTAAAAGTGGCCAGTGCTGAGAGACAAAGCTGTTGAAAGTTTGTCCAAATCAAAGCAATATTCACAAACCCACGCATATCACTCCACGCTCAAAATGTGTGCTTACATTTTGTCGATTGGTTTTGCGGTCTTTAGCAGATGTGGTTAGTTTGCCTTGTGTTCCACCGGGGCTTGTCTTTTCTCTCTCTGGACCTAACAGTGTTTCCCATTGATAGAGGAGACTATGGGGAGCACAAATTACAGTATGGGAGGCCAACACACAAGAGAATTAATAAGACAAATGATACTTAATGCTTATAGTACTATAAACATACTAGAGTATATTTAAATCTGTAATGATTGTTGTTTTTCAACAGATGCTGTAAATAACATTTATGCACCCTAAAAAGTATTAATTAAAAGGATTCAAATACAGATACCTTGTGCCACATATAGTCTCAGTACAGACCTTTTACAGGCCTCTTATGATAATTACTCAATTCACTGTTTAATTAATGGCATATTTTGAGGCTCAGCTGTGTGTACATTTTCTTTGCAATAGTGGGTTTAGATTTTTTTTTTGAAATACAAGTTTTGAGCAAAAGAAGCAGGCCCGGGTGCAGACCAAACTGACTGAGGGTGCATTTGAGATTTAAAGAGGTGTTTAAGTGGCTTTATTTTAGGCGCCTATAATGAGGCTGCTAACATCTTAACTGAGGTTGCAATGCACCCTTTTACACCCCTGTAGACTTGGGCCTGTATAGAGGGTAGAGTAGGTAATTTCTATGGCTAATTATTTGTGGTTCAAGCTGCTATTTATTTACTCCACTGGGATTATTCTGTGATTGTTATTGTGTCAGTGGCACAAAGTAGTTTCAACTTGTGGGAAACACTGCCTAACACCTTTCACATTAGATAAACACAACACAGAGAACAAATGCACGTTTTATGGTTTATTACATGCAGGAAAAAGCGTCTCTAATTCCTCTGGGAGACGGAGCATGTTGTAAATCATCAGGCAATGAAAGTTTCCGGGCTAAAACAAACTGAGCGGTCCACTCTGTCTCTCACATCCTCCATCAGAGCTGCAGGAATTTTTATGAGGAAAGAAGAGACAAGAGGCGTCAGGACTGAGAGCTGCAGGATACAGCAGCATCCCCACTGAGCAATCACAGGGATTACACTAATCTAATCATTGGATTTTTATTTGGTTACATTTAGTTGCACACAATCTGCTGTTTTTGAAGTTTTAGGCTAGATTTAAAGGTGCACTGTGCAACTTTTTCTGGTGTAGAATTCCATGCTGTCATTACTTAACCTGGAAAATTCAAAAGTAGGCCATCTATCTCTATCTATCTGTGGAGAGATTGCAGTAAGAGAGCATGTCTTTAGCACTAAAACACCTATAAGAAATACACAATATGTTTATTGTTATATTATGAAACATTCCAGGCAAATAAATAAATATCAAACAGGTCTCCAGAAAAGTTACATAGTGTGACTTTAAAGTGAGCAAGGAGTAAATCAGCCACAATAGGTCATAATTCAGTAGCCTATTCTGTGGTCGTGGCTGTCCTAAACCTGGGCTCATAAATAAATTGTGGGCATTAATGATCTACATAATTAAATCTCCAGTCAAAAAACCCAGTGTGACCTGAGAAAATTGATGACTGTCAAATAAGAAATAGTAAAGTCCTATTAGCCTTGCCCAATTTAACATCAGTTTTATGATTATTATTACTCTGAGGGAAACCACAAATGACCAGTACCAATGTCTGTTAAAAATACTTTCTAGCCTACATAATTGCCAGAATGAAAGGGTTACGGTATGAATACTGTTTACCTAGACCGCGGTCGCCATCTGCTGTTGACACTCGACATTACATTGAAGGGAGATCCATAAGATGTAATTTGATTTAATAGCACAGGCATTTTGACAAAAACAAGCTGTAAACCGCGGTGGGTTCTCCGTTCAGAAAGTCTCCTCAGTTTCCATGAGCGCAGCTGGTTGTTTTTAGCTTTAGCCGGACAGGACCGCAGTGGCACGGGCACAGTGGAGATGAAACAGGCCTCCTCTCGGCACAAACACTGCGCTCCTTCACTACACTCCCGGCCTTGTGCGCAGCTGCTCGGGATGACACAAGGCGCACAGGGCTTTATTGAGTCGTGCTCAGGCTGATTTTGGGCTCTGGTAAAGCTCAGCCCGCGGGCCAGACCATGTAGGAGAAGGCAAACGGCCCAATGGAAGACAGGCTTCCCTTAGCTGGTCCCGGGACGCTCTGTGGGGGGCGCTCATTGACTGTGGGGGCGCTATGTGGAGCAGGGGGCAAATATTGTGAGATGTCGATGGGCTACCTCTCTGTAACCTATTGGCTCCAACTCCAACCTTCAGCTCTGCTATTTTATTCACAGCACAGCATCTCCTCTTAAGGCTGCACTGGGATTGGGATAGAGTCGGTTAAAGAGGAGATCAGTAGGCTGTTGTTAAACTAAAGACGAAAAAGATCCACCTTGGATCAAAACCTTGTTTCATTAAATGCAGCCTATTTTTGAAGTTAACATGCAGGACTGGCCGTGCTTCTACATTTCTTGTTTATTCCTATCCCATAAATTCCTGTTATGTAAAATGTACAACTAAGCATAATGAAATACAGTCATTTCTCAAGTTCTGCTTCACATGAGCAACTCCTCAGTTGCAGTTTGGCCTCCAAAACAGACTACCTGTGTATACGGCATAATAAGAATCTCTTAACACATACATACATACTAATATATCCTTTTACAATAGTGTTACTACAAACGGTGGAAATGTACGGAGCCCCTAAAATGCCATATTTTGTTTTAAAATTATCTTACAAGCGTGAACAAGATGGGGCATTAGAGGCTAATAATGGAAACTAAACTGTCTTCTGCTCTCATCAGTCAAAATAACAAGAATTACTTTAAGCCTTAAAATACCATATTCCCAGCAAGGTCTTTAAGATGTGGAAAGCAACAACTGGACAGCACACTGCTGTAATGTGCCACTGCTCCTGACAGGGTGACCCAGTGACTGTCTGGATCAAATGCAAAAACGAAACAAATAAAAAACAACAGGTGACCAAAGATTCAGACATTAACATTGTTTTACTGTTGGGGATAAATTCATAACAGTTTGAGTCTCTGTTGCATCGTTGTGTTTTGTATAGTCTCACAGTGAGTGACTAATGCATTGTGGTCGGCCTCTCGTTCCTGCCCTCACGCGTCAGACCTCCGCACAGACACATTCACTTAGCTGCTGTGGTCGTAAACATGGGGGTGGCATCATCGGGCTCTGCAGTTGACTCTGCAGGAGCACGCCTTATGGCCATAGACTGAGCTGACACAGAAATACATGGGGAGTACCAAGGACAGACAGCAGCTTTAACACAGTGAGCTCCAGTGCCTACGACATCCTGAGTGCATTAGCTGTAGCCAGCAGGTCTGGTATGGTTTTAACCCATCCTTTAACCGAATGACTAAACTCCACTTGAAAGTAAGCTCTCTGGTGACATCTTGTGGGGATAATAGGTTAAGATGCAATGCTAAATCACATTAATTAAAGGTGCACATTGAGACATTTCCGGTGAGAGTTGACAACCTGCTTGACATGACTTTTTTTTGCAAGGAATGTTGCACGGAATAGCATTAAATATTTGGTTTTAATTTCTAAAAACACACCTTTTAAAAAATATATTCTTGCTTTTACCATGCTCCTTTACAGTGACCAGTAACTCAGCTTGATGGTGTCACCTACTGGTCTCTATGGAGATACTGTAGGTACGTTTGATGTCTCAGATCTTTTGGTTCTTTTTGTTGTGATTTGTTGATATGCCCCTTTGCTGCTGCTCTGATATTATTACTAGTGCTGTATTCTTATGTTTGCATAGTGGGTGTAATGTTTACATGGTGGGTGTCATAGGGTGAATGCGCTACACTATGATGCACTTTTAAAATCCTATGCAGTTTGTGTGATGCTCTAACGTAATTTTGTTGTTATTTTATATGATAATGACAATAAAGTAATTTAACTGAATTGAATACGAGAGTGGTAGACCCTCCACCTGAAAAGTAGCTACAGGGCCATATACCAAAAATACTTTTTTGTATCACAACTATTTATTTTTTATATGAAAGAAAGGAAGCACTTTCTCATGGCATCCCATTTCCTGCCATATTAAAATAAAATTTAAGTTACTTGATGCACTTTTACCTTGACACTCAAGGGCACATTTCAACCAGAACTATAGCACTTCAGATACAAAAGTTTAGTTCAGTCCAGTGAGCCACTTGAATTACAAAAATATGTTTGCATTTAAACATATTCATCATCAGTCAGTTCTTATTCTGTCCAATCATACCACTCAATTTTTTTTGTTCACGCCAAACTTATATATATATATATATATATATATATATATATATATATATTATATTTATATATTTTTTTTTTTTTTTTTTTGTTTGTTTTGTTTGTTTGTTTTGTTTTGTTTTAAATTACAAAACATTATTGCATTTTACATATTTTTTGCATTGCAGTCAATGAGACATTTTCTGTAACAGCTGGTGCAATTGTCAGTGGTGTCCAGTAGAGAACGCTGTTGAGCTATAGCTGCCCTTGAGACTTTGAACTGTCTGTGCGTCCCATTAAAATATTGTGGGACAGTGGGATGCCCTATACCAGGCTGTTTCCATTGAGTTTAGTCCACTCAAAGATGTCTTGTTCACAAACTATGTCTGAGTTGATGAGCAGGTAGCGGTCGCCCACACAGAAGTGCTTTTGGCAGGCAGCACATTTGAAACACTCCAGGTGGTACACTTTGTCTCGCACCCTCATGGTCATTTCAAATGCTCGGATCCTCTTCTCGCAGGAAGCACACAGTCCATCCTGTCCAAAGAGTCTACAAGAAAAGAAAACATTAGATAGGGAAGGTAGAACTAGAGCAACACCACGTACAACATGCCATGAGGACACTATACTAAGGGTTGAAAGATTACAATGTAAAAGTTAAACTATTTTAGATCAGATGCATAGCTAAAAAGGTTGAAAAACAAATGCATCTATCGCATGAAAAAAAGTATTAGTATTAGTGCTTGTTGAACCCAAAATTTAGAATTTCCAAATTCTGAAAACATTAGAAATGTTAAATCACACATTTTAAAATGTGTAACTGTAATCTAACATTTTTAATATAAAGGTTTATCACATACTAAATGCAAAATTAGTCAGTGGTTCTATTCATACCAGCTAGTGAATATACATGTCATTCATATGATACTATAATTTTAATTCATGGTCATAGTTAAATATTGATCTGGAAGAAAGGTCAGGATATGGTAGAATTACCCCTTTTTGGATTTGGTTTATAGTTAAAATCTTTAATTATTGGGCCTATCCACTATTTAATAAACTAAACTAGTCAAAGACAAGTGTTGTAAGTTTAGAGAACATTTAGAGCCAAATCTCTAACAAAAAATATGAGTTTTAACTGTGATTTCTGACAATGAACCACTCATAGAGTTTACCATGTTATCTGGAAATTATGGCCTGTGGAAACCTGGAATATTGCCTCTGAACTATAATAGCACTGGTTATTAAATAAATGCTTCAAACCTGAGGTAGTCTCTCCTGCAGAGTTTCCTCCCCAGTTTGTAGTAGAGTCGTCGGCCCACCTCCCCCAGCCTACAGCCGCACAGGTCACAGCTGAGACAGTCCTCGTGCCAGTACTGCTCTATGGCCTTCAAGAAGAACCGGTCCCCAATGCTCTGCTGGCACCCTCCACAGGTCAGGAGGGAGGGGGGCATCTGCAGCACCTCATCCACTGGCTCTCTGAAAACAGTTATTTATTGATTTTTTATTTTTTTGTCAAAAATTTTGTGTTGTATAATTCATCGTGTTCTGATGTCCTGAATGAACTTATTTGAGGGAAAAAAAATATGAGGACGTTTTATACCCTTTAACATTTTATGATTATTTACATTTTAGCATAAAAGATTATACAAATGAAATATCAACATTTACTATACAATGAACCCTGAAATTTGATGCCTGTTTGTCCTCATGATGTTGATTGCGTTGTCTTGAATATTCCTCAGTGGCATTAAACTTGTCAGTTTCCATGAAGACCAGCAGTTAAGTCAGACATGCAATGTGGAAAGGTGACACCGCTCACTTTAAGATGGCATGTTTTTCTAAGATATTTTTTAAGTAATAAAAACAGCTGTAATGGAATACAAGTAACATAGATAGGTTTGACGTACAGAGTGGAACATTCCAGACAAACCAATAACATCTCCATGGAGGTAAGCTGGTGGCGGACCTTCCACCAGAAAAAGTTACATAGTGCATTTTTAAGTTCCTGTTTTTTAAATAATTCTTTGTATTAACAATTCCAAACAACAATATAATTTAACTTAAAGTATTTCCTATGTGTTGGCATAATAAACTGTGTCATTCAACTCCGGGGTCATCTCTTAGTGCACAGGAAAGGGAAGGGGAAATGAAGAGTACATCATGAGTCAGAGTTGTAACAAGAGAGATTGGCGCCTTCAACATCAGCTATGAGGTAACTTGATAATAAGGAAACAAGTTATAATTATTTACATTATAGCACTCAGGGTAACATGTCCTCAAGGCTGCATTTACGCTGTATTAAAGTACAGTGTACAGTAGTAGTAACAGTCTAGGTTTTTTTCGTGTCCTTGGATGCCTTGTTGGAGCAAACATAAATCTCCATGTTACTTACTCATTGGCCTCCAGTGTCTTCCTCTCTATAGTGGACGTCATTTGAAAAGCCGATGTCGATCCGATGAAGACAATAATGCAGCCTCTTGCCTACAGTGCGCACACAGACAGTGAAGGACTACACCTGCTCCGCGCACGCTCTCCCGACGCTCTCCTCGATGTCCGCGCACAACTCCGGCTCCGGCGCGATAATTGAAGAGGCTATTCAGTCGAAATGGCCGCAAGACAAGAAATGTTGTGCGTAGTGGCTGCAGAAGGCAATGTCATTATTTCCTGAGGCAGTGTCACCTCCAAGTGATCAATTCAGAAACCGTTTGATTACGCACTACTCAAGCTTAGCGCATCTCGCTCGGTTTGGGTATTTCTGGACAGAGTTGTCAGTGGCCATTCTCTTCCACGTAAAACCTGTGTTATTGTGAAGCATCGTGGTATAAATACATCAGCCCCCCTCGCTCTGCCTCTCCCTCTCGCGTCTCTCTCTTCCTGCTCACGACTGTTTGACAATGGGGGGAAATGGGTCTTAAAGCGACAGCTAAATGGGCCTGGTCTGTCTGCTCGTGTGTCTGCGCCGTGGTGCGTGGAATGGGTCGTGACTCGTGACAGAGGCTAATGGCCTCATTACATGCTCCGTTACACTAATGCAGACAGCACCAGAGATAAAGACTATGATATGAGTGCTTATAGACTTTTTTCCTCCCCCCCCCCAATTTTTTACCCATAGTCTGGATGTCTCTTACTAAGGCTACGTTGGCCATTTAACTCAAACACAATTAGGCTTCAGACACAAAATGTAAAAAATAAAAAAAGGAAAGAAAATGGCCTAAACTAAGAAAAGCAAGACTGGGCCTGTGTCGATTAAATATAAAAGATTAAATATAACATTACTCCTTAAATAAAATATGATACTCTGAGCATTATCCCAAATGTTTTCAATGGCATGATACACTGCAATAATTATTAATCATTGTTGATCTTAAGTTGTTATCTCTGGCCATGGGACTCTTAATTGCTTTAGTAACCAATACCTCACCTGAACAAAAATGAATAAATATTGCTCCTCATAAAAATGTAATCTGTTTGTCATTATAAAATCCAGCCATCCACTGACAACTGAACTTAAGTTATTTCATTATTGTGTAGGCTATCTATTGGACTTTACCAGCCTATTGTGCAATCCTTCTATTTCAAATGTTATTTTCACCCCAACAAGTATTTATGAAAGTTTATATATTATACTGTTCCCATGTAGAAAAAGAATACTATATGTTTCTTCATTGTCAGAGTCCTCGCGGCAGGGCTTAGCTGTTGTTGGTCCCACTGTTATCTGCTGCCAGAACCAGGGCCGGTTTGTGAAGGGAGGGACCCCACAGCAGTCAGCCTGAGCTCGGTGAGATAAAGAGCCTAAACTGCAGAGTCCAGTCAGCCTCTTGTGACAGATGCAGGGATCCAATTCAAATGTGCACCTCCCTGGGCTAAACATGGGACTTGGACTGTGTGCGGACTGGACTCAGACCAAGCAGCCCAAAAGCAAGGTGAAAGAAGAGTAGAGGGGAGCCCGCAATGCTAAACAGATTCACTGGGAAAGATGTAAACCAAAATCATCTGCCAATAAACATACAGCAAAAGTTATGAAAGAAGATATGTAATAAAGTGTAAACTTGTATTTTTATTTTTAGAATTCAAGGTTCAGTTATAATATACTGTGTAATATATATATAATCTATATAATCTCTCTCTCTCTCTCTCTCTCTCTCTCTCTCTCTCTCTCTCTCTCTCTCTCTCTCTCTCTCTCTCTCTCTCTCTCTCTCTCTCTCTCTCTCTCTATATATATATATATATATATATATATATATATATATAAACCTCATCAGAATTATACCCAGAGTTGTGTTTTGTTTCAGTTTTGCTTTTAAGTAAAATAATTATTAGTCTGTCTACACCTCCAAAGCTAAAAATGTAACAGTGTAAAAATGTAAAGGTAACAGCTCCCTTTGTTCAGTAGAAATGAGCAAATCATTCTAGTGAAGGTGTATGCAGTTCAGAAACACAGTGGAGCATTTTCTGTACTACCACATGACATCACTAGGTGGAACAGAGTGTTGAGAAGAACTAAATATGTAGGGTTTGTGTGTTAAACATGTGTGAATGAAGTAAAACACAACTCCTGGTATGTTTTTTTTTTTATATATATATAAATAGACCCCTTTAAGTTAGCCTATACCAAATGTGGTGTAACAGCAAGAATACAGGATATTAATAGAGCTTAATATTTTCTAGTATAGGTAGTCTACTTGAACAATACCTTTTATTGATGTCTATGCCTGAATTTATTATTATTTAAATAAACCTATTGTGTACATTTCCTTAAATATGTAGTTGTAGGTTTTATCATTTATTTATGACATTAATTTCCTACAATGCTCCCGAAGGATACAGGCATTAAAATTAGTTTTCAGTAGTCCTACATTCCCTTCATTTCAATAGCGTAGCCTACTAATACCTTTTATATCATTCAAAAGTTCAAAGTTATGTAAAGAAGGGTGACATCTTAACTTGTGCGATCCAACTTCCTGTGAAGAGAGCCAGAGGATGTGTGTGGCTGTTGGGCCCGTGGTCCTGTTTGGGGGGTAGAGCTCGTGTGAACATTGCATTATTTCCTACATCCCCAAAAATGATACTGGGCTTCTCAGATAGACCCCTGTCCTCCAGATGGTTGACAATGATAGCAGTTACAGCACACCATAAACTCCCGGGCTATTGTCATTATGAGGCAAAATCTCCAAGAATACAGGCTTATGTGTGTCTGAAGCTGTTACACTGTTGTTGCATCATTACTTACTAAGATAAGCAGTAGATTCTGGGTGAAAATGATTCATAATAGTGAGTGGCAAAAAATCATGTATGATCAAAATTATAAAGTAAAAGAGTAGTAGGCCCATGTCAAATCATAATTTATGGTAGGCCCATTAAAAAAAAAAAAAATCATCACATTGCTTGAAGCCTGGCACATTATAAATAAAAAAAAAAAAAATATATATATATATATATATATATATATATATATATATATATATATATATATATACTATACACACAAGTTGTATAGTGCATAACAAACATACTCATTAAATTCATGGGTTTGGAATACAAATAGTTAAACAAAAATCTATAGTGGGGGCTTTGGGAAGCAATGTCCCTCATGCCTAGCTTCCTGTTTTGCCCTCTGTCTGTGAGCTGCACAGGAGAGAAAACTGTGTGGAATTCAGAGCAAGTGGAGAGCTCATTTTCTCTTATCACCACCACAAATTACTATTGATATTCATAGCAATAGCACAATTAAGAGATTAAAAATAAAAAGTAAAACAATTGAAGTAATCTGTTTTGCATTTACCATTATGGAATAGGACATTTAAGTATAATAAGTATATGTAAAGAGTTTGAAATACACACTGGCTGATCAGTGAGTGGACTCTAGTTTTGACAACATTAAAAGAAAACCTTCCTAATCTAGGCTATATAAATAGAACTATACCTGTTCTATCTTGTAACTAATCATTGCTCTCTCATTATGAAAGTTCACTGGTTTGATTAAAACAAAGCAGGGTGGGGAAATTAGTCACTCATTAAAAGGGCGCTTCACTGGCCCTGAGACCCTCCCCTAATCAGTATTATCCCTAAAAGAAACAATTTCATGGGAGCAGTGCAATCAAAATGCCATGCAGCCATGTGAACTGCTTCCTGTATTTAGCAAAACAAAGGAGTTTCACATTCTTAAGTTTTCAGGTCAGTTTACTTTAGAAATGAGAGTGAACAAAGACACACACACAAAAAAAAGAAAACAGTATACATTTAGTTTAATCTGTTGTGTTTAGTTTAGTTTAGTGCTGTTTACGAAGCAGGCGTAACACAGATTGCTGTGTCAACAAAATGGCTGTTAGACACCTGGGATTAACTATAAATTTCAGAATGATATCCCCAGTCCTTTAAATGATGAAGTCCTCAAATAGTTGCTTATATCATAAACCTTAAACCCACGAATACAGGGATAAAACTGAATCAAGGATAATTTAAACAAACTAGATTCACTTAAGTTAAGCTTTACATACATACATCACTGACACCAGGGTCAGACTCCCTTTGTACTATTGATTTTCTTGCTCAACACTGCCACCTACTGAATGCAACTTATAACAACAATTGAGCTATGTAATGATAAAGCAATGTAGTACATCATTATAACCATTCTGTTTTCTTTTATATAGGCCTATCATAAAACAACCTACAGCGAATACGAGCATCTTTATTAGGTTTACTTAATGTAGGCCAATAAAAGATTAGTTTTCTAGGTCAAATTAGCCTATTTGTCTACTTTATTACATTCAGGCATTGCCTATTTAACACTAAATAATTAGGCTTTGATTGGTTTCTTTTATGATGCAACACTACAGATCATTCATACAGATCAAGTCTACAGTGGAAGCCACTTGGCCTACACTTTCACTTTTGTTTCATTTGTGGTTTGGAAAGTAGATTATGATGATTCATTATCCACACACAGTGCATTCGAGTTCCTTTACCTGATCATGATCAAGTGTGCTTAAAGCATGGATAAAACTACTTCAAAAATAAACTTTAAACTGCATTCAAAGTGAATTTGACCTACATTTGTTCATCTTGAAGTTGAACCTCAGACTGAGGTACTGTGTGAGTTATGAGTGAAATGCAGTGTGGTACCACAGCTGAGCACAGGCTCAGGACAGAGCCCACAGCTCAATGGCACAGCTGTCAGAGAATACTATGAATAACTGTATAAGGCAGAAGAGTAGAAGAGTGGAGAGAGGATAGCCTAATCAAAGCTAATGATTGTGCAGATTTTATGCCAAGAGGATATTAAGAAATATGCCTGACTATAATGATGAATGTAAACGACTGAAATAAAGTTTATCTTTATAATTATCTCACACTAATAGTATTTTATTAAACATAAATATAAAATATACAATCTCTAAACGTAAATCACTCCATTAAACCCATATTACTGCAATTATCTATTCAGGCATATCTTTGGGTGCTAAAAACGGACCTTCGCCTTTTATAAAGAGTTTCTCCGTCTTTCGAACCGTCTCAGTTGTCGGTGAGGCCGGCGGGGCGGATCCCACATTAGTGAAAGACATAATAAAGCAACACAACAATAATAACAACTTGGCTGATTCCTACCTTTCATCAAAAAGCTCCCCTGTGGATATAAACCATTAAGGTGGGTAATTCTGCGGACATTCCTTCCGGAAACCAGTGCGCCCAGCCGGCTGCTCGTTAGCACGCGTTGCTGTGCCATACTTGCTAACAGCGCGGTCGGTGCTAGCTCCTTCAGAGGCCAGGGCCATTTTTAATCAAAGCTCGGACATAAAGCTGACAATCTACCTTCGCCACTGCTGGTACATAGGTGTGCGAGCAGATAACATACTGAAGGTGACTTCGTGGCGGATATTTATTGCCTTTAGTAACTGATCAGACTAATGAAAAGAGATGCTTTGGGGATTTCAAAACACAACAGCTGGACTCGTGTTGCCGGTGTCGAAATTGGTTTTATGTTCAAGGAAGTGGTCTGATTGGCATATTTAAGTCCATTCAAACCTGTCTACTGTGTTTATTATAAGGCCTCTATCAATACATAAGACGCGGCAAGTGGCAATGTTATGGCTAACTGGCATATCATTTACTGGCCAAATCTATGTTATTTTTGTAATGTCTGGTACCTTCTAGGTAATGTTAACTCTCAGTGTCATGTCGTTCACTTGTAGCTCATAGAAAACCCGTTGATTTGATATTTATCATTGGTCATCTGTATTATATTAAGTGTTGTGTTAGACTGTATTTGTAAAGACTACCATTACATTTGCGGTTTGGCTGTGTGTTGTGTTTTAGATGCCCTCTGCAATGAACGCGAGCAGGTCAGTGCAGAATGCCAGCCCAGAGGTGGGATCCGCTCCAGGGTCAATGGGCTCTGCATGTGGACAGTCTGAGGTTTTAAAACAAGTGCTGGGTGTCATTGATAAGAAAGCTCGCAACATGGAAAAGAAAAAGGTGGGTGCCATGCACTACCTCACTCATACAATACAAGTAATCTTTATATCCCATGTAACTATATTTTCATAATAGAGCAAACTGGATGACTATCAAGTCAGGAAGGACAAAGGAGAGCGCCTGAACCAGGACCAGCTGGTGAGGGCAAAATACAAAAAAGCTATCTATGTTGTTACTTATTATTATTACTTATTCACAACTGTAATCCCTTAGATATTAAATTATTATTAATAAGCTTCC